ACCACATATGAAAGTGGCCTGAAAATGGGATTTGTGCTGTTCAGATATCAGATATGGGTCACATATCGGCAAAAAAGTTGGATTTGGGCATGTGAACGTAGCCATAGAGAGTGCAGTGTATAAAAAGGCAGTCAAAGGATATTAAATGATACAAAACAGAAGAAACATCAATGAAAACAAGTTCTAAAAATCCTCACTCAAACCTAATGGGGCAATGTTCCTTTAGGGATCCAACATAACTTTCTCTGACATTAACTTCTATTAATGTCCCCTCATCTAGGAAGATAGAATGAACACATTCTATCTGTTGTGATGTGAATAAACATAAATCTGACTGGCAACAGGATCATTTTAATTGTGACATCTTATAAAGCTTCTCTATATTTACAGATTTGCTGTTTCAGAATGTTGTTTTGCCGCCTATGTTAAGTTTATCTATTCCTTCAATTAATATACCCACTTAAGCAGATAAATGACATTTTCTGTACTGCAGGTGATGGCTCCCTTATAGAAAATCTTTATTCTGATGTATTACAGCAAGGATAATAATATGGATAATGTCCTTCATTAACTGCGGCATGGAGGCATACTTAGGTTTGGGCAATACATTTGCTCTAACCAATTTGTTTTATTGGTTGTGCCCACTTTTAATGAGAGGAGCATCTTCAAAAAAACAGTCCACCTGCCTCCTCCACACTAGAGGACGCAAATTCAAAAGATGCACTGCAGAATGATTTCCTAGGTGTATACGTGTATGTATATATGTATATAAATAACTGTATATATTGATTTATTTCAATATAAATATCTTTTCCAATGTGTGTAGTATAATGGAACTGTAAACTTTAATTTCGTTATACAACATTGTGCTGTTCTTGTGTTGTGTTTATTGTCTTCAGGAGATTTAATCATTTTCATTTAAACTAACTATGCACACATTGCATAGGCTAAACTACTTTACAATAAGAAAGACTCAATACGGCCGTTCCCCTACAAAAATAAAATCAACTGTGGAGTTCCTCCCTGTAGTCTGGTCAGCACTCTGCTGTCAGCTTCAGGGAGTGTCTATCCTGAGAGTGGGGCTGTTTGACGGTGCGTCCACTGGAAAAAGGATGGAGCTGGAGAATAATCTGATTCAGACTTTTTGGCAGGGGTTGGCAGGCTAATTGATCACTGTAGTTCAAATGTTGCCATAGATATTCTCTAACCAGACTGATTCAGGATTCCCGTCCCACCTGCTGTCATTTACTTTTTTCCTTGTCCCGTCCCAGTCACGTGATGAATAGTACAACGGACTCCCATCCCACAGGATTCCAGAAAGTCAGTCTCTACTGCAGACAGAGAACTGAGTGACTAGGAAATCCTACTGCATCTCAACAGCTTTCTCAGTGTAGTCTCTGTTGGTGACAGAGTTGCCTGACTCTGTCTTTGTGGTAGGCCGTATCTGAAGGCCTTGATGCGATCCATGATTTCTCATATAAAAGTGGTGATCAGCCTCCTATTATATGAATGAAAAGGCTATATGAAGGAAACTGCAGTGCATATAACCCAGGTACCCCTCTCCATGCCTCTTGTTTGGGGCATTAGGTTGAGTTCTAGTAGTCTTACTTAGCATTAGTGAATGGATTATCTTTCATAGAATAGCTGCTTTTGAGCTGTGTTACTTACCTGGACAAAGAAGCCAACGAGAAACGAGACAAGGAAAGGCAGCAATCCAGCATGGGCTATCGTCACTGGAAGACCTAGACATTGAAATAATGTTCAAGTGTGTCTGAATTTGATTCCCACCTCACTAGATTTGAAGACGTGCTAGACGGTGTCTGACTTTTTGTCAGAGCTTCTCCCTGCCTGTCTATCACTGTCTCTGCTCACAGACACTCCTTTCCCTTCTGGCTCAAACTTACCATAAACTTTTATGGGTCGTGCTGATTCCAATATGAGATTTAAGTGATTGAACAAGTATTAACCTGGAAGGGCTCCACCTTTGTGGAACTACATGAAGACCCTGCTGAAAACAAAGTAGTTAAATGTAATGCCCCATGTAATTTCCACCTCTACAAAAATCTCTCTGGTGTTAACTACACTTCATAAACCACAGTCCAATGTGCTCTGCCAATGAAAGCCAAGAGATGGACGGAGGCTTAATTATGTTCCAAATGAACTGATATTATTAAAATGAAGTCCAGTACAAAGAATAAATATAGCTCACCAAAGTTTTTATCATCATATTAATTGGATGAAACATGCCTGTACACGCCTTTATCATCAAAATTCAGTGCAGTAACCTTTAAAAAACACCAGTGATTGGGGCGCCCAGGTAGATCACCTTGAAAAGCCGGCACCAGACTGAGTCCTTGGTACATGGGTTTGAGTCTGAGCTGTGGCCTTTTGCTGCGTGTCATCCCTCTTTTCTGTCCTCCCTTTCCTGACAATCTTTGGCTGTGCTATCTAAGAAAAGCAAAAAGCCCCCTCAAAAAAAATAGTAATAAAAAAAACCCAGTGAAGCTCCAGGGGTTAATGAGACTGTGAGAAAGATGTCTACTATACAGTAAATTAAAGTTTGTCCACCACAGTTTCAAGTAGTGTCAGTGTGTTGACTAGGTTTTTATACTGTCTCTACAAGGAACCTTTATTTCGTGTTGGTCCTCTCGGCCCCTGTGGAAAAAAGTGGTAGTGTTTGACCACCTTGTTTTATTGATTTTAAGGGGAATCTGACCCGGTGGCAGGCATTAAGAATAACTACATACAAATATCCAGTCTTTTCGCTGATGGTCTTGCTTATGCAGGTCATTTAGAGGCATCAGTATTAATCTGAGACTGTTCCATTAAACAGATTATTATATTGAGTGAAATGTTAACATTTTCCAGCTGGACACCATAAGTCAAACAATCTGTGATTGTTGAAATACTTGCCCAGCACATGCAGCACACACGCATGAGCAGCTCTTGGTAGCAGACCATTAAATTAGCTAAATAAAATGACAAAAATAGCTACAAATATAACTTTTTTCAGTTCAAAAGAATGTTTAAGTGAGAAAATGGAAGTACTCACCTAAGATTCCAGTTCCCAATATAGTTGCAATGGTCAAGAAATCTAGGAAGACAAACAGAGACTTATGTTAGACATAGTTACCACAAACAGCTGTGCAGATGAAAAGTCAACAGTTACTCTTCAGATCTCATATCAATACAAAGAGGGTATAATGCAATGTCACTGCAAAACTGGCAGTCTGAAAAGTGTCCAAGATGGTTTTTAGTATTTTTGGGGGCTTTTCTATTGCCTTTAATTGATAGAGACAGCTGAAGAACGACAGGAAAGGGGGCAGAGAGAGGGGATGACACGCAGCAAAGGGCCGCAGGTCGGGACTCGAAACCCTGGGCCACTGCCACTGGACTCAGCTTTGTACATAGGACGCACAGCCTCTATCCACTGAGCTAACTGGACGCCCCGTCCAAGATGTTTTTGCTCAGGGCTGACAAAGACTCTTCTAAGGTGAAACATGTTGGTGTCTGTCACAGAGTAGCTCTCAAGGTTTGGCTACAAAGTCCCAGGTCAAGTCCCACGTAAAGACAAGTAAGTCCAGGGCTCCAGGGTGCGGCCATTTTGGGTGCACATGCAAACTTCTGTCGAGTGCATCTGAAATTTAACAGGTCTGATAAAAGATATATATTAATATACACCAACATGTGAACAATAATTCTAAAGATATTTTCTAGAGATGATTTTGTCAGCATATAGTGAGATTTGATTCAAGCCTTGCACATGTGTCATTCATATCAGCGTCTGCATGTGTTAGACTGCTCCCTGTACTTCTCCTACATTCCTTGCATGCTAATTAGAGAAATTTGGAGCAACATCACAACCTTTAAACAATTCAGAATAAAGAGAACTTTTGATATGTTTTCGTCAAGATATAGGCTGCTGTGTCTGGACCACCTGTCCCTGGGCCCGAGATGCCAAACCCTGGCCCAACATCACAGGCAGAGACAGTCTCATCTAAATCCCAGCCAGAGTCAGAGCCAGAGCCTAGTACATACCAAAAAAGGCCAAAAACAAGCTCTGCCTGCGGTTTCTTGCCTACTGCCTCTATGTTTCACTAAGGCACAGCATGATAGCTTGGTTAATAGTGAAGTGTTACAAACAAGCTAAATTGCAATCTGTCTATAGTGTGTCTATAGACTTAGCTACTTGCTGAGATGGCAGCTCCGTCTCTCAGGGCTGCTGCTCTCCACCAGTGCTGCTGCGGGTAGTGAATCACCTCAGAGGAGGACAGGATGAATGAGAATGACGGATACTGACTGATGTCTGTGTTCT